AGTATGAAAATAGTAATTATTTTTTTTCTTGGAGAACTCATCTTCAGTAAACCTTTAATACTGGAAAAAAATGTTTTTAGCAAGTGTTACTTATTAGCACTTAGTTTCTGTAACACCCATCTTCATTGCTCTTTAAGAGCTTGAAAATGTCAAGTCTAAACCATTCTTGTTGCAGTTTTTGTGCTGACTGAACTAAAATTGTTTATTGACAGATCTGTAAGTCATTTTTGCTCACAAATAAGGAAGAATTAGTGGGGGATGTAGAAGTGGATGGCAGCTTGGGCACGACCGACAACAAGATGATCAAGTTTAAGATCCTGACAAAAGGAAGAAAGTAGAGTAGCAGAGTATGAACCATGGACTTCAGAAAAGCAGAATCTGACTTGCTGATGGAACTGGTGGGCAGAATCCCCTGAGAGGCCAGTTTGAGGGGGAAAGAGTCTGGGAGAGCCGGTTGTATTTTTAAAGAAACCTTACTGAGGGTACAGGATCAAACCATCCCAATGTGGAGGAAGAAAAGCAAATATGGCAGGTGACCAGCTTGGCTTAGCACAGAACTCTTTGGGTAGCTTAAACATGAAAAGGAAGCTTACAAGAAGTGGAAGCTTGGACAGATGACTAGGGAGAAGTATGAGAATATTGCTCAGGCATGAAATCAGGAAGGCCAAGATGCAATTGGAGTTGCAGCTAGTGAGGGACGTGAAAGGTAACAAGAAGGGCTTCTACAAGTATGTTAGCAACAAGAGGAAGGTCAGGGAAAGTGTGGGTCCCTTACTGAATGAGGGAGGCAACTTAGTGACAGATGAGAGGAAAAGGCTGAAATATTCAGTGCCTTTTTTACCCGTCTTCACAGACAAGGTCAGCTCCCAGACTACTGCACTGAGCAGCAGAGTTTGGGGAAAAGGTGAGTAGCCATCTTCAGGCCTCAGTGGTGAAAGAACAGGTTAGGGACTGTTTAGAAAAGCTGGATGTGTACAAGTCCATGGGGCCAGATGCAATGCACCTGAGGGTGCTGAGGGAGTTGGCTGATGTGATTGCAGAGCCACTGGCCATTATCTTTGAAAACCTGTGGCAATCAGGGGAGATCCCAGATGATTGGAGAAAGGCAAATATAGTGCCTATCTTGAAGAAAGGGAAGAAGAGTAGTTCCCTAGATCTGCAGACCAGTCAGTCTCACCTTAGTCTGTGCTCAAATCATGGAGCAGGTCCTCATGGAATCCATTTTTGAGCACTTGGAAAAGAAAGTGATCAGGAACAGTCCACATGGATTCACCAAGGGCAAGTCATGCCTGACCAACCTGATTGCTTTCTGTGATGACATAACTGGCTGTGTGGTTGGGGGGAAAGCAGTGGACATAATATACCTTGACTTTAGCAATGCTTTTGATACGGTCTCCCACAGCATTCTTGCAAACAAGCTGAGGAAGTGTGGGTTGGTTGGTTGGATGAATGGACTGTAAGTTGTATAGAAAGCTGGCTGGATTGTTGGGCTCAACAGGTAGTAATCAATGGCTCAATGTCTAGTTGGCGGTCAGTATCAAGTGGATGTGTCCCAGGGGTCAGTCGTGGGGCTGGTTTTGTTCAATTTCTTCTTTAACAATCTGAAAGATGGGATGGTTTGCACCCTAAGTAAGTTTGAGGATGACACCAAGCTTAGGGGTGTAGTAGATATTATAGAGTAGGGGGTTTCAACCTTTTTTGGTCATTGTACCCCCTGGCAGCCAGTTGACAAGTAGGGGAGGGGGATCCCCAGCGGCCAGTCTACAACGGGGGAGGGGTCCCCCACACACCTGTGGCAGCAAAAGTAAAACTGCCATCAGCACGCGGTGGCAAAACTAGAAGTGAACTGAAAACAAAAGCAATGTGCAGTGGTGCAAAGTGTTGGCGGCCCTGCTCCCTTCCACTGCTGCATACCCCATGGGGCCTTCCCAAGTACCCCCGGGTGTACACGTACCCCTGGTTTACAATCCCTGCACTAGAGGGTAGGGCTAGGATTCAGAGAGACCTTGAGAAATTGGAGGATTAGGCCAAAAGAAATTTCATGAGATATTCAACAAGGACAAGTGCAAAGACCTGCACTTAGGATGGAACAGTCTTATGTGCCACTACAAGCTTGTGACCACCTGGCTAAGCAGCAGCTCTGCAGAAAAGGACTTGGGGTTACAGTAGACAACTAGATATGAGTCAGCGGTGTGCCCTTGTGAGCCTTCTTGAGAACAGCACACGGATTGCATTAGTAAAAGCGTTGCCAGCAGATGGCGGGAAGTAATTATTCCCCTCTGTCCAGCACTGGTGAGGCCACATCTGGAGTATTATGCCCAGTTTTGGGGCCCCCACTATAGAAAGGATGTGGACAAGTGGGAGAGAGTCGAGCAGAGGGCAACAAAAATGGTTTAGGGGCTGGGGACCTGGACTGATTTAGTCTGGAGAAGAGAAGATTGAGTGGGGATTTGATAGCAGTCTTTAATTACCTGAAGGGTGGTTCCAAAGAGGATGGAGCTGGACTGTTCTCAGTGATGGAAGATGACAGAACAAGGAGCAATGGTCTCAAGCTGCAGCAAGGGAGCTTTTAAGTTGGATATTAGGAAAAACTTTCTCACTAAGAGGATGGTGAAGCACTGGAACAGGTTACCAAGACAGGTGGTGGAATCTCCATCCTTGGAGGTGCTTTTAATGCCTGGCTTGACAAAGCCTTTGCTAGAATGATCTAGTTGGCACTGGTCCTGCTTTGAGCAGGGGCTGGATTAGATGATCTCCTGAAATCCCTCTGAACTCTAATTTTCTGATTCTATATTTTACTGGTATTGAAACAAGTACATTAGTATAAAGACATGTATGAGGTAGTTGTACCGATCTGTCATGTTTTTCCTCATCATCAATCTGGTTAAGTTGGTACAAAAACTGTGGAAATGAACTCCAAAATGCTGCTGTTAAAATCCATGCACGTTGCCAATTGATAATCAGCATGCAATCACCCGAAACACACCAAAAAAGCAGTGATATACAGCCAAGCCCTCAGATACCACCGCATCTGTACTGAAGAGAACACCCGGGATTGCCACCTCACCAATCTTAAAAAGGCTTTCACCCAGCAAGGACACTCCTCCAGAGAGGTAGATCGCACGTTTCAAAGAGCCACCTGGATACCATGTGAAGAACTGCTGCAGTACAGAAGAAAAACACCCACAAATCGCACACCGCTGGTTATGACCTATCACCCATCCCTTGAACCTGTACGGAAAATCCTCAAAAAATTGCAACCCATATTAGAAAAAGACCCTATTCTTAAAAAGATCTTCCCAGAGCCACCCATCCTAGCCTTCAGACAAGCACCGAACCTCGCCAACCTCATCACCAGAAGCAAACTTCCTCAACCCCAGAACACACCAAAAGGATCCAGACCGTGCCATGACAAGAAATGCAAAACCTGCCCCCACATCTCCACCACCCCCACTATTACTACACCCCACAACAGAGCCATCAGCATCCCAGGATCTTACAGCTGCACCTCCAGGAATGTAGTATACCTCATCCAGTGCACCAAATGCCCTGATGGAAGATATGTAGGAGAGACCAGACAACAACTGCGCACCAGAATGAACGCACACCGGAAATCCATCAAAGACAGAAACACGCAATTACCGGTGGGGGCACATTTCTCACAGGAGGGCCACTCTCTCTCCAATCTCTCAGTCCTGATCCTCAAGGGAAATTTACACAACACATCCCAGAGACGAGCCTATGAGCTCCATTTCATCAACCTGCTGGATACTAGAGATCAGGGACTAAACATAGACATTGGATTTTTGAGACATTATAATCTGCCTGGCAACTGACTCCCCAGCCCAGCCCAGCCCAGCCCCTGGCTTCTTTACTTTTCATTCCATCCAGGAAGAGCACACACCAACTGCTGCAGCTTCCTGAGCCTGACGAAGGGTTTTTGAACCCGAAAGCTTGCTTAATAACTATTCTCCAGCCATTTGGGTTGGTCTAATAAAAGATATCAAATTCACCCAAGGAACCTTGTCTGTCGTTCTACCTGAGAAATTGGGGGGCGGCCCCTGCAAATTAGGTAGGCCTCTATAGATATGACTTCAGAGTTTGTCCCATGAAATTCCACTTGAAGTCAGTCTCAGATCGCTTTCCACTTGACCACTTTTGAAAGTGGAACTTTAAATTCATTGACGCAGATACAGAACATTTTACCCAGTAGCCCTTTCTCAGAGTTTGCTATCTGTCTTTCTCATATACAGGCAGAAGGTGATCAGAGCAACAAAGGGAAGGGAGTGATGCTGAAAATCACTTTATCATGTAGCTAAGCTCAAGTCTTTAGTCCAGCTTTATGTGGCATTTTATGGGTTCTGAGTTGACCTTAGTTGAAATATTGCTGTTAAAGCCGTAAACCATGCACTGTCCTTCCTGTAAAATTTAACTAGTGCCTTGGACTGACATTTTACAACAGTATAAATGTCTACAGATGCAAGTGAGATAACTTTAGTTATAAATACCTGTCAGTTGCATTTCTAAACACTTCTTGCATAATAAGCAAAGGTTTTTCTCCATATCACCATTTCCCATTGTAGGCTGTTGTTCTGCTTCCCATCTCCATATTACCATATAGAATGGTGTTTTTGAAATCAGATTTTTTTGTTAGGCATGAAAGACTGTTGCCTTGTTCTTGTCTATGAGTAGATTGTTAGCAAGTACTAGTTTCTTTCACTTTTTTTGGGAGGGGGGGCAGGGGGGAGCTAAATACTTTCTGAAGAGCTTGCTGCAATTAAAATGTGAGAGCCCAAATGAATTGCATTCTATCCTCTACCAAAATGTTGAAATGTTTTCTTCTTACAGGAAGGAGATGGATAAAGCAAATGTTCATTGGGGCTTTTCTTATCCCAGCCATGGTGTGTGGCACTGCCTTCTTCATTAACTTCATTGCCATCTATTATCATGCTTCAAGAGCTATTCCCTTTGGAACAATGGTGAGTGGTTTTAATAGAGAACTTAAAATATCATAGCAAACCTAGGAAAATTACCCTCTAAATCAGGAAAGCCAATAGCCTGTACTGTTTCACCGCAAAGTGGACTATAAAGTTTAAATACTTCAATCTTAAGTACTGTTTCTCTGATAGATAATGTAGAAAATCTGTGGCTGTTGTAGTAGCTTGAAAGAATGCCATTCTTACGTTAAGACTTGTCTTGAAATGTATAATTCACAGTTGCAATTTATATTAAGGTTCCTTGGCTCGCTGTAGTAGCTAAGTATTTAAAATAAGTACAGATGGGAGTGGCGGGGAGGAGGGGTTAGGGGCAGGTTAGAACACATTAAAAATGGCCACCCAGCTTAATGCAAGTTATGATGTGGGGGCTAGCAGTGGGGGCATTGGGGTGATGGGGGGCAAGCAGGCTTGGAGGGGTTATTGGTGACCCTAACCCGCACCCCCCTGCTTAACTCCCCTGCTCTGGGCAGAAACACTGCTGAGATCAGATGATCCTAGCAAGGTGTCTGTCTAGTCTCCTCCTGAAGTCTTCCAAGGTTGGGAACTGTACCCACCTCCTTGGGAAGTCTATTCCAGATTCTGTTCACCCTTACTATAAAGAAGTTCTTCTTTACATCCATCCTGAAACCATCCTTCAGTAGTTTATGGCCGTTGCTCCTTGTCCTTCCCTGGGGCGCCCTAGCGAACAGATTTTCTCCCAGCTCTTGATATTCACCCCTTACATACTTATAGACAGCCACCAAGTTCCCCCACAGTCTTCTCTTCCCTAGGCTGAACATCTCCTTAGTTTTTCCTCATAAGGTTGGTCTTCCAGGCCCTTAATTATTCTTGTGGCTGTTCTCTCAACCCTTTCAAGATTCTCCACATCTTTTTTTGAAGTGTGGCGCCCAGAACTGGACACTGTACTCCAGCTGGGGTCTCACCAGTACCGAGTAGAGAGGAAGCATCACTTCTTAGCCGACGCGTCATGAACACGGCTAAATGCTTCTGAGGATGGGGTTGTGGGGGAGGGCATCTGTGAGAGTGATGGGTGAGGGGGGCAGCTGGGGTCTGGGAGGGTCTGGAGGGATCAGGGGGGCTTTTGGGTCTGCTTGGAGGCCCCCTCCGTGAACGTACATCCCCATCCCCCTCCCCTCCCCCTACCAATGCTTGCTCAGCTCCCAACAGTGGTGAACACTGTTAAAGCAGGCACTGGAGTTGCTTTGGGAGGAGTGGGGGTGGTGCTAAAAATTGCCTGGTGTCGGGGTTGCATAGGAAAACTGCCGCGCTGGGGCCTGGGACCAGTGGTTGGGCTTTTCCAGTCCTGCTTAGGTAACTGTACAGAAATTTCATGCACTAGTCTAACCTAGATCACTAGATTTGAACATACATCGATCCAGGTCTATCTTAGACCAGGTTCCACTGTTTTTAGATCGGTCTCTGTGTGCAGAACTTCTGTATTGTTATGGGTTTAGATTGCTTATTGAACACTTAGACCCAGTCTCAGTGAAAGGTCCACACCTGGATGAACTAAGGTATATCGAATGGCCATTTTTAACACGATCTAACCTCCTCCTAACCATCCTGAACATCTGTACTTACCCTTAATGTGATTTTCAGTTTGTAATTGAAATGCTGAAAATGGTGAGTGTTGAAATTGCATGGAGCCAGTTTTTATGGTTTTATTCATATTTACTGGGAAGAGATATGGCTCTTGTGCTTTTACTGTGTGGAAATATAGGAACATTGAAAGGGAGGGATGCATTCACGGGGGTGGTGGTTGATGTTCTTACAAGAGGACAGCAGTTCTATTATCTTCAATTTCAGAATGAAAATTATGATAGGTCAAGGATGATGCATAGGATGCAGGGTGGTAGGTGGGTAGTGAGACCAAAGGCCGAGACGAGTAATAATATTAATTTTGAGGTGCGTTTTACTGTCAACTGAAGCAGTACTGAAACTTCATTCATGGCGCTCATGCTTAAGACTTTCTGTCTAAGGATCTTAGTGCATCACAGTCATTTATTAACTCCATTACACCTCACTGACAGTTGGCTATGGTATTCAGGTTAGGTCTGCATCTTGTGCATTTCATGTTTGTGTGTGAAGTCTTAATAACCGAGTCTGTCTAGATGCAGCCTCCTCACTTAATGCCTTTCCTATCCTTCCTGTCTATTTGTTCCTTTTCTTAATCCTTCTGCAGCTTTTGTTTAACACTTGGCAGCTCTTTTCTCAGTTGTATACTTTTCCCCTTCTCTTTATCATTTTTCTAAATTCAATTCCTTGCCATAAACTAGTTTTCTTCATTGAGGCTCTACTACTTTAGGTCTCTTCCCTGCCTTTGCCTTCCAAAAGTTAAATTCCCCTTCCTTTTTCAGATGTTAACAGCTTGCTTAGTCTAGCCCACAAAGTGGAATCTCTCACTTCCATAAATGCAACTGAGAGTATGTAACGGTCATATTCACGTTGAGGTTGGTATGGATTAAGGGCCCAGTTTTGGCTCTTTCTGCACTGACCAAACAGAAATGTAAGGTTAGCCTGGATCTTTAAACCTGGCTCCTGACTTCTAATTCACCCTCCCATGTTAGTCTCTGCTGGAAAACTTCACTGTAGGGAATTGATTGTGCAGTTTGCAATGGTATATGCACATTTCTGAACTAGTGAGTTACAGCTGGTAACCATAGCATGCTGTTTGGAAGTCTGTGGAGGCTGGTTAGATGTGCCACTTTGGAAATGTGGTATCCAATCATCTTAATGCATCCCTTCATGAAATAGTATTCTCAAAACCATAACCTGGGATAGAAATCGTGCGACATTCTGTCCTGGCAAGATTATTTTATAGGAGGCAGTAAGTGAGTATAATGTACACATAACCAGAATTATTTTTCTAACTGTTTCATCCCCTTGTGAAAATCCTCTGACTTAGATATGTCGCATGTCCCTTCTTTCCCCATCCCCAACTGTATTTAATTAGAACTATTTTTTTTCACCTACAATGATATGGAAGAATGGGAATAGCAGGGAAGGTACTTCTGACTGATGGGTCATGCTCACTCCCCTCTGTCATGAAATAAGATTTTATTTCATTTGCCCAACCTGTGCTGACCTTTCAGAGGGTTCTCTGCTGCCTCCATTAACTAAGCTGTCTGCAACTCCTGTCAGATGCTTGGAGATCATACTGCCTTTCACTGTGCTGTCAGAACTAGCACAGTGTTCACTGGACTGAGTTCTGCATGAAGTTCTGTTCTGTTCTGTTCCATTTTCACCAAAGTGGCATTGAAATTTTTTTGCATCCAGCTTTTTTTAGTGTGGAAAAAATTCCCAGGTGGAGTGAGGAAAGTGAGAAAGAGCCTATAGTGTTGCAGCAAACTGCAATCCACTGCAAATTGAAAAGAGCAAAGTCACCCCTCCTTCTCCTTGCTGTGATATTTTTTTGCTTTGTAAACAAGCTTGGAGTTGCTACAGCTGAATCCCTGAAATAAGAACAGGGAGTTAGTGATTTGGTTTTTCCCTAAATAATCAATGTGTTCCTGGTTATAAGCCCAGGCAGGGTACAGCACAAAAGCAGTGCAGGTAGAAAACACTTCTGAACCCTCAAGGTTAAATAAAATAATCTGCAGAATGAAATGTAGAAATCCTGAACTGTTCTGATTTGGGCAAGAAGAGTGGCAGTGTCATTTTATTTCAAAATTGTCCTTTCTGTCCAACTATGTACTTAAAGGGAAATGCTTAAAGTTGGTCAACCTAAAATTTGATTGATCATGGTTACTTTTCCTGTTTTATAAAAGCTTGCCCCGGAATGCTAATTGTTTTAAAGTAAATGAGAATGCATAAGCATATTCATATAATGTGGGGGAAAATCATTTGTTCATGTCTGAGTTTCTAAAGGTGATTATAAATTTGTGATTTTGGAACTTGCTGAATGAAAAAAAGCCTTCTAATATTTTAACATGGCATGCAGAAGCAGCACCATAGCCTTTTTTCAGGCTGCAACCTAAAAGGAATTACAGAATTTTTATTAAACATTTTTTTTCTCATGTAATAGCTATAGTCAACTTGTGGAGTTTAATTTTGTATCATTTTCTTAACTCTCAATATTGTGTTACTCTTTAATGTCTGAAGAGCTAATTTTTCACAAAATGGTAGGTTATTTTTTTGCTTAGAGTTTTGAGTTTCTGGAATTTTTTGCTCTAAATCTTTGGTAAAATAAAACATACGTCAATCACGTCACAACTTTTTTTTGTGCCTTGTAAAATGTTTTAACTTGTGGAAATCACTATGCAACTCAAATTCAGTTTCTAAAAGACACATTGTTAAAGTGAAGGATGAAGGTGGCAGAAATCATAATTTTAAAGAACATTTTACTTCCAGTCAGGCCTTCAATAGTTTTCCATTGATAATCATAAAATATATGCACATGCATTGCCCCCCCCCCCCCCCCCCCCCATTCAGCTGTTGAAATTGGGGTCCACATTCTAAACAAAGTAATGCAGTGATATCAGTTTCTGCCTCTGTTTGGGAAAGCAAAAGTAATGCTGCAGGGCTTCACATAGGGCTCCCTAGCTGCTGGCTGTGAACACCCCCCCCCCCCGGGCTT